CCCAGAGACCTTTGGGTAGTGTGGGCAGCATATAAGTTAAATAAATAAATAATAAAGAAATAAGTGAAAATGTGTATCCTGCTTGTTGTACTCAAGGTGGCTTACAGCCAAAGAGAACAGTTTTTTGTTTGTCTTAAAGCAGATTTTCCAACTGTACAAATGCCCTGCCCAATTCTTTCTCAAAAAAAAAACCAACCACAAATCTTGGTTTGTGGTTGATCAAAGATACCTGCTCCAAGATAAAAGTGAAAAAGATAAGATGCTGTCCAAAAATCTAGTTTTATTACGGTTTGGGCAGTTTGATTTAAGTATGGAAACCAAGTACAGTACTTCTTAACTCTCATGCAAATTGTGTTACATGACACTGCCTGTCATCTAAGTTATTGATACACAGGTAACATATAACCTGTCTGTTTTTTTTTCTCTCTTTCTCCAACTACACTTAATAATTTTCCAAGTTTAAACATTTTTTAAAGTGCACATTTTGTGTTCAACTGCATGCTTAAAGAGACACATCCTGCAATATAAAATTTTGTAATGAACCCTTTATACAATAAAATAATCTAACAATCACCTGCACAGCCGGAAGGAACCCTACAAATCATCAAGTCCAGTCTCTTTCAAAGAGGCACAGTGGGGAATCAAACTCCCAACCTCTGGCCCCCAGCCAGATATCTAAACCGTTGAATTAGTCTGCAGTTCAATGGCAGCTGCAATGTGAAGAGAACAGAAAAATCTTACATCAGGGCACAAGTGGGTAGATACATGGAAGAAAGTGGGCCTTCAGTTATCCTGGCCACAAGCTGTGCAAAGATGTGATGCAGCTTCCGCTTCTTCCCACTTCTACACATGAACAAAAGAGATGACCAGACATGAAAAGGCATGTGCAGGCATTGAACTTTATTACATGGCCCACACTAAATCTTTGCTCCTCCCCTGTACATTTGCTTTTCCAAGTTACGCTTCCCAGACTCTCCCAGAATTTCCCCCAAGATCTACCATGACTGAGTCTTGT